TGAGGTCACTTGCGCACAAAATTTATCGCGCCTAAAATTCATGATAATAAGTAGAAATAATTATTTCATTTCATTTTTAAAAAGAATGGATTATTTTTCAAGATAATGAAGTCACTTACCTAAAATATTTGAGAGGGAGCTTCTGATAAAAATTCGGCTAGGGAGAGGAGCTCACTGTGTTTCGACCAGAGAGAAAAAGATCTCAAAAGTTTTCTAGGGTGGGAGTCTTCGCCTCTCGTATTTAAACTCTTACGACACCTTATTATAATATTTTATTAAGTTACACCTCATACACGTGGTGTGACCGTTATATTACCCCTTATATGCTTAAAGCCCAGGCGAGAGCAAACCAAAGAAACTCAACTAAAAGATTTTGACAATAGTGATGGTCCCTAAGGACCATCATGCTCATACGAACCATCACTTATTAAAAGTTTCCCCTTTTTTTTTTTTTTTTGAAATTTTTAAATTATTACAGAATATATTCGAGGGCAGTACCCCTACATATAGTCAGATATATAGGCACCTTATATCCTTCATATCGATGGTTTTCCACTTATTTGTATATTTGTCCATTTGGAGCTGTGAATGTATAGGTTTTAAGGCATGAATACAGAGTGTTTGATCGGATATAGTGGGTTGATGTAAATTTTAATAGGGATTGTAAGTTCTTAGAACTCCTCACGCACCGAGTACATATGTAAAAAACCATTATTGTTTCCATGATATGAAAATTAAGGGTGATTTTGGCCCCGATTGTGTTAGTCTCCTGGTTATTTCTCTGATATGGAGTCATAATACATTAATCATCTGCTCCTTAATACATTTCGGAGCTACCAAATCTCTGGCGAATCCACTGGGGAGGAGTTCGCCCTTCATCTTGGGTAGAAACTAGGAAAAATATAGCATTTTCTCTCTCTTGAATCGAGCTTCACAATAGTCACTCTCTTGTTCGATCTCTTTCTTTACTTTGACGATCAGTCCTCACCGGTGCCATGCATTTTTCTAGGATAGTCAATTTTGTGCATTTTCAGCAAACAATCACGTAAGTTAGATGCCTCGTTGAAAGAATCGACAGGACTGATGTATCAATCGCAGAAGCATGGGGTAAGATGATTAGAAAATCTTGGGTTGAAGTCAATGTTGCAGTGTGCAATAGCCCTCTTCAATTCACTCTGACCAATCGTGAGAAGCGACGATAGATCGTGAGTTGCAGTAGGCACTCCAAACGTCATGTGGTAACCATCATTCAATGTATCATTGGAAACATTATTGTTATACGAAATGTTCCATGAACGCGAGGGACAGGTTGTCGCATGGCTATAAATCCCAGGACTTACCATCGAAAGTTGAATGTCCCAAGCCAAATGCATTATCGAATAATAATGGACATCAACCGAAAATGGCTCATGCACCAAGTAAACCCCGCGAGAATAGATATAAGCTTAATCCCACACCATGTACAGTGCATGGGGGTAGAGAATTGTTCAAGCATGACAATCCATGTCGGACAAGTCACTCGAGCAATTCATCGAGCCAAGGAAGCCCAATCGGTGTCGCCTAAACGCCTTTGACCATTGAAAAACCTCGTTCATAAAAAAGAGTAGAAAGGCTGGCGGTAAACATGCTTGGACCCATATCTAATGTTCATAGGCCGGGAGTCAAGTCTCCTCTTGAGCCTAACAAGTCTGGACTCATAACGCAAAGCTCATGCAACCTTAAGGAGGTGGCAATATTTTTGTTCAGCAGCACCATTTTGTTGTGGTGTTGCTGTACATGAATGTTGATGGAACACACCTTGAGTTTACAAAAAATGTTTCATATCATTAGAGAATAATTCAATTCTATTGTTGGTATGAAGGGACTTAATTAAATAAGTAAATTGAGTTTTAACCAAGGTAAAAAAGGCTTTCAAGTGGTGATTAGTTTCAATTTATGTCAAATTAAAGATATCCAAGTATTACAAATAAAATCATCAACGAAGGTTAAAAAATAGCGTGCGCCATAAAGGAATGGGGAAGCATAACCTTCCTACATATCACTGTGAATAAGTAGAAAAGGTGAAGTGGTAGAACATGAACTAAATAGAAAAGATAGTTGAGAATATAAGACAATAGCGATCAACAGAATAAAAAACATTAGAATGTTTCTCAATAAGAGTTTGTAACCAAGCATTGGATGGGTGGCCAAGATGTTAGTGCCGTAGGTCCATGCATTGTGGGTGCTGATCAGATGAAGGAATCACATCTTTAGAAAATTGGAACAGATAAAGTCCACTCTATTCTCTACTGGCTCTAGTCGTCTTCCTCGTTAACTGGTCCTAAAAAACACAGTGGAACGAAAAAAATGTTACTGAACAGTGGAGATCAAAAATCAATTTCTTAACAAATAATTTGAATGAAAGAACATCTAAAACATTTTGAAAAGAGATCTGATCAGAAAGGACAACAATACCAATCTGTGAAACAGATGTCGTGCCACCATCATGTAACTTAACCGGTTGGATGGGTGATGAAGGTTGGATAAATGATGAAAAGGATGGTAATGAAATAATACGGCAGTTAACACCACTATCAATTAACCAAAAAATATTGGAGGAAGGAAAAATAGAGCAGCAAATAAACTTACCAGCAAGATTGGTCAATTTGTTGGAACTACTTGCTTGGAGGAGATTCAACAAATGGCGATGTTGTTCGACAGTAAACTGTGGTGCACTACGCAAAGATGGTTGGCTAGGCGGAAGTGGCGCTCATTAAACCTTGTTTGCATGAGGCTTGGGCTGCCTTTTGGGATAGCCAATGAGCTTGTAACAATGGTCTTTTGTGTGGTCGTCCTTATGACAGTAATCACATTGTAATAGCGGTCAGGTCCCACCCTTATGATAGTAATCACAATGTAATAGTAGTGGACGGTTTAGAAGTGGCAAAGGCAACAACATCTGTGGCTGCTGTGTGTAGCTATATGTCAGACACAGTGTGTATTTATAAGGGATGGAGTGGGAGAGTTAATGAAATAGATAGCATACACAAACGAAGTACTTAAAACAAGTTATATTCAATGTTTTCAAGGATATAATTTACCAATGAAACTACCAAACATATGAAATTGATTATAAAATGCTTTTTTAATGTGTTTACCAAACATGAGTTTGCAAAAGTGTTTGTTTTACATATGTAAATACTTTACTCGTGTAAATGTTTTCACACAAATCAAACACGCATTCGATTGTGCCAGCTAAGTCTTCTTGTCAAAATAAAGAAAATCTACTGCAAATCTAGTCTTATTAAAATAATTAAAACTAAAGAGGAAAAGAGAAATGAAACTTACCTAACCGGGCCGGTTGGCACGGGACGCTAGAATTTGAAGATGCCGCCCATATCAAGACCGTAGGTTATTTACGCTTTTTGCCTTCCCTTCTCTTTGAACTTGATTGAATTCTAGCTCTGAAATTTATAGAATAATTAAACTCTGAATGGTTGTAAAAAGGATTAAAATTGTATTAGGTTTTGTAGCCTAGATCTAAGATCGCGATTTTTAGCATCTAGGATTTTGAAGGCTAAAGCTCTAGAGCTAAGTTAAAAGGACCTAAGCTAGGGTTTATTCTCTGGAATTAGGTTTTAAAAGCTTAGTGTTTGAGTCTTTATAGAGATCGGGATTCTAAAATATATTGGGTTTCTAACCAAGATTAGGTGTCCATCTGAATGGGCCAAATTAGATCCCTTTTGTAGGTTTCTAAGCTGATTCCAAGTCGGTGTAAGAATCACTCTACTGGATTCTTCTCCAAATTTCGGTCTGACTGAGTCAAAAGCTGTCGACACCGCACTCTGAGTATTTGCGGGCAAACTGGCCCAAACACTACGCCCTATGGCATTTAGAGTTTCTGGCTATGTGAGAGTTGGTTTTTCGAATATTAAGGGTCAGACGCCGCACCATGCGGCGTTTAGGGTTTGTGGACAAAACGATACACACCGCTACATCTAGGCCTTGGGCAGCTAGATCTTCAGGATTTCGGTTCCTTTCTTGATTTTGACTTATTTTTTATTGGTTCTTTATCTTATCTTATCTAAAGTCGGTTTTCTATTTTTTAGGGTTTTATGATAATTTTTTAGGATGATTTCCTAGATTTTTAGTATTCATGGGAGATTCTCAAGGGTGTTCTAAAAGACTAGGGCTATGGTTTAAGGGACTATGGACAATAGGGCAGGTGATTTACGGTGTATTAGGATAGCATGGTCCTTAGAGATTTATTAGGCATTTCTAAAACATTTTTAGATATTTTAAAATAAAAAAAATTCAAAAAAAATAGCTAATTTCAAAATGTGGTTTCTACAACTTTGTTTATATTAAAATGTTTTAAATGTCAAAATCTTCCTTTAAATCGCTATGTTTTTTCGACCAAATTGAAAAGGCTCTAAAAGGATATGCAAGACTAGCTGCAAGTAAAACCTCACTTTAGAATTCACCAAAAATTGTAGTTATGGCATTGGAAAAACTTCAAATGGATTATTTTATCCTTCACTATTGTTGTTGAAAAAAAAAAAAAAATCTAACCAAAAAATAGTGTATATTGTAACACATTATTTAAACCGTACATTTCGTATTAAAAATAATTTTAATGGATCTACAACATTTATACCATTTTTTATATTTCTATTTCATAGTCAGTTTTGAAAATTAATTTTAGAAGCCTTCGTTAAGATTTCTAACGAACAAGTATTTGTATTTTTCGGATGGGAATTTGAGATGAGGCTTTACTTCGTTTACATAAACCTCAGGCAAAACTGAGAAAAACATAACCGAGAAAATATGATAGTTACTCTCCAATCATTATATTTGCTCCGAGTCACATCGGAGGCTTCACGTTAACGACACGTGCACCAATAAAATACACACGTGATAATGAACACTTGGTGGAAATAAGCAATAGCATATACTTTAGAAAAGGCACCTCCTACCCTAATTCATTTATTCAGGTGTCACCCATCTAACAACTAAACCTTTTTTTTGAACAGTGGTTTACTTTTTCCTAATTCATTTATTCTGGTGTAACCCACCCAACCACTACACCTTTTTCTCGTACAGTGGGCGACTTTTTCCTTTCGTGCCCGTGGATTCCTCAATTTAACATGAGCAAGAGGCCATTGAGTTAAAAAAAAATATATATAAAAAAAAATAAAAAAATAAAAAAATAAAAAAAAAGACATCTCTTTCCAAGCTTTCACTTTTGGGTTTTCATGATACCCTTCCACCCACTCATTTGGGTAGGACTTTAAATAATCACTATTAAATATAATACAGATTTCTATAAAAGTTATTACATAAGTGTAGAATATGATTTTTTTAGCGATATGTGTCATATTTAAGGTGATTTTTTAGGGTCCTACACATGAGTGTGGAAGGGTCTTATAGAATCATTACTCTTCTTTAATATAGTTAAAAAAATAGGTATATGAAAATTACTTATGTTTGGTTCAAGGTCAAGTCAATTTTGATCTTTAGAGGGGTTGGCAACCGGTCGGGTCAAGTTCGTTACTGTCCCGACTCAGAAACTGAACCAAAAATGAATTATAGGACCCAGACCCGACTAGATCTAGACCTAAAGCCGGACCCAACCCAAACAAATAAGAAAACAAATTAAAAAAAAATTAAATGTTATATTAAATATATACATGTATTACATAAATATTATAATTAAAATATATGGTTATTTTGATTAAAATATTATATATTAAATATTATTTAAATTTTTTGTCAGGTCTTCTTAAACTCAAACCTAATTGGATCCGGACCCAACTCGAGTCAAACTCAAACCATATGTTTTTTTTTTTTTTGGATGCAGTGTAGGGTCTTTCTGTTAAAAGAATATTTTGATAAATATTACGAGACTTTAATAATGGAACCCATCCTACGGCTCCTAGGTTATCAAAACCTTGGGAAAAGTAGATAAAGATGGGCGCCCAAAAGAGCAAAGGAGGAAGGCTCCAGAGGGCGTGGAATCTAGATAAGAAACACAACTGTATGCCACAATACTATGAGTAGGACCTTCACACCATCATCACCACCCATTATAATACCAAAAATATGGCAGGCTGGATGGATGGTTGATTCTCCCACTTGTTCCATTTCTTTCCTTAACAAAAAGAACTTGGGAAACTGGAAACTTAAATAATGAAAGGGAGAGATAGGGGTGGCCCCGTCCCACCCCACCCCACCCCACCCCACCCAGGCTCTAAAAAGCTTAAGCCTGGGCTATAGGCCAACCCGGTTTGGCCTTGCCCAACCGCTTTTTTTAGCTTCTTCCTTCTAGTGTCTTTATGTGATTTTATTTGGCCCGGTCTTACCCGGCTTGGCACACAGACAGCCTGGGCCAGCCACAAAGGAACTAGGGCCAGCCTAAGGCTAACGCCCAGGCTCAGCTTATTACCAGCCTTAAGGAAAGAGACCTAAGTCGGCCTTTCCTAGAGGGAATTTCCTCGGTTATAACCTAGCCAGCTGGCCTCTAGGGATTTTTCTAGGTGGTCTCCTTTATCTCTCTTCTTTCTAACAAAAGTGGGTTGTACTCCTTAACTTTGTAATCTCAAAGCATGCTATAAATTTGACTCATTCTCTCTCTGTCTTCTCATCTCTTCCACTTCAACAACTCTCTCTCTCTTGTTATCATGGCTCGCTTTGTACCCGTCTTGGCTACGTCTTTCCTTGCTCTCCTGCTCCTGGCTGAGTTTGGCTTAGCACTAGAACCACAAGGGGTGCGCACCAACAATTATTCTCTCTACCTTCTATACCTCAAGTTTTCTTCCAAATATTATGAGTTCTTATTAAATTACAAATTTTGATTATATTAATAGGAAAAGCATATAAAGTGACTTTTTACTTATAGTACAAAGAGGTCATAGTTATTGATATCTTTCAGATTTTAGATTGGGTCGGTATGGGTCATTGATTAGACTTAAAGTTCCAAAACAAATATTTTAAACTTCATAATACACTCTAAACCATCCGATTTGACATCTAATAGTTAAGAGTAATTTGGACCTTTTTGTAACAAAGATAAATGATTTCAAATACAATCCCATGATATAGTTGGCTTAGAACTATGATGTAACCCCTATCTTATAACATGCAAAAAAATAATCTAGTTCCTTTTTCATCATTTTATCTCATCCATGTAGTGTAAGAATTAACATAGTTTCTTCCATGTTTTCCACTAAATGAAGCTGATGGTCCTATGTTTTTGTATGTTATGTAGGTGATTGAGGGCTCCCTCACCAAAGGCACCATGGGTAAGAGAAACCACCATTTCTTGATGAACTAAGACCTAAACTACTGTTTCTTAATTTATTTCAATGTTTGTAAGCAGTTTTGTGTCCCTTCTTTTGTAGATTGTGGAAAAGCATGCTCCGGCAGGTGCAGATTATCATCGAGGCCTCACCTTTGCAAGAGGGCTTGCGGCACGTGCTGTGCGAGGTGTAATTGTGTGCCCCAAGGGACTTCTGGCAACCAAAAAGTGTGCCCATGTTATTATAACATGAAGACTCATGGGAACAAACGCAAGTGCCCTTAAATATATGAGCACTATGCTCCCTATCTCTTCAATCTCTCCCTTCTGTCTTCTTGGGCAAGCTCAATGCTTTTGACCTGCTTTATATTTCCTTGTAAATCTCTTTCTTCTTTCCCACATGATCAGCTGATGCCTTTGAGTTGAGCTCTATTTTCTATTTGTTTATATGTAGATATAGGAGCTACTCCAACACTGAGCTATACATCTGGTTTGGTATGTTAGTGTGTATGTAGATATGAGTGAATAAATGGCATGTATCAACCTAAATCTACTTCTATGCACTGTCACTGAATGCAAATTTCTGAAATAATAGAAAGAAAGGGCAACAAAAATGAGCACTCCAATAGCCCATGGTAAACCATCAATATCACATCTTAGTTTTTATTTCTTTTTTTTGGTGCACGCACACTTATGGTGTATATACATATACTCGTCTTGTGTTACTTTTGGAGCTTTAAATTTTATAATGAGCGATGGAAGTGGAACTAGATTTTCAGATAATCATAAGGGCTTCTGGTATAAAAATTGTTTCTTTGATGGGGAGGTGAGCCTTAATTTAACTGTTTTATGTTGTTGCCTTACATAAACTGCACCCAGTGTATAATTTGAGTCATCAAATTCCTCTTCATCTCCTCCCCAATTTTTCTCTCCTTTTCACTATTTTCACTGCTACAAACCAAATTCCTCTTCTTCCCCTCCTTTCTTTCTCTCCCTCCTTTTCCCTATTTTCACTTGTGCAAAATAAACCAATTTCTCAATCTTGCCTTCTTGGCTTGAAATGCCTACGGATTTTTGCTCCCACTCATGGAAGCCCTAATTTTTTGAAAGTTTCAAGCTTCTTGGAGCAATGGAAATAAAAATTACGGAAAGCTCAAGCACGAAAAACTAGTCTGAATCTAGTTTTGGGATATATCAAAGAAAGTAATTGGGTGTCTGGTCCCACAGACGAGGGGACCCAATGTCATTTTGGAAATAGATAGAGGTCATCTGCATCATTTTTAGGCAGTTGGGAGTTGGGACCCACTATTATTCCCTGTAAAGAAGGGCCACAAGTGAAAAAGTTCAAATATACCTAATCAATATATAATAAAAGAAAAAGTTTATATAAAGTTGCGTAGAAATACAGATGTATCTCAAAAATCCACCAGAAAAAATTGTTTTAACGTTAAAAAATCCTCTAATCGAGAAAGGTGCAGTGCTTGCATCCTCACGAGAATCACGAGAAAGGAATGAAGAGGCATTATTGATATCCGATATGCGAAAGTGGAAACTTTTGTTTATTCCTACTTTGGGGTCCTCCTCTGAGAATACGGTGGTTTTTCTAGGATCGAGACGCTCCTTTGTGAAGTTTGTACACAAGAATAAGGGGTCTCGGTTGCTTGAACCCATATGCATAGTCTGATGGCACGGGGTGAAGCCGTGCACGAATGATATCAGGCATCGGAGAGTTGGGAATGCAGTACCCAATACCTTTGGGGTGTCGCCAATACATAGATAGTTAGTCAGGAAAGATCAATATATCGGCTCACCATAAAATCAGAAATAAATCGTTTTTGTTTTAAAAAGTCGTATGAAAAAATCAGGCAAAAAATACGGATCGACAAAAGTACTTTATGTAAAAATATTGCAAATATATTGGACTAGGCTAAAAAATTTGGAGTGAAAAAAATATATATGTTTAAAATAAAATTAAGTAGAAATTAAAATAAAATTAAATAAAATAAAAAATAAAATGATAAGTTGATGATAAATATACCATATGAATTTTCTCATTACATGTTTTAACAAACATCACACCCACTTAGTACATAAGCAAAAAAAAAACAAAGTGGGACAATGTGAGATAAATAGAATTGAGTTGACTATATTCATTTATCTATTCATATGGTGAGTGTCCCTTTTGTAACTATAGTTAAGCGATAGGAAGATGTATACATCTTTTATTAGACTAGCAACAAACACAGTAGACCAAGAAGAAGCACAAAACAAGAAGACAAGTATTACGCAGTGAGAGAGAAGCAAACACAAACTCTTCCATAAAGAAACGCAGGGTGAGAGAGAGCATACATAGACACTGAGAAACAAGATGGACATAAACTCTCAGAGAAGACGAAGAACATGGACGACGTAAACCCTAATCCAAGTTTCCAGCCATGAATTAGGTTCGGGGATTGAGCCCTAATCTCTTTCTTTTTTTTTTTTTTTTTCTTTTTTTTTGTTTTTTTTTTTAGTTTTTTATTTTTTGTTTTTTTGTTTTTAGTTCGTATTTGTAGTATGTATAATTGTGATAATTT